CATAATTTTCATCAGTTGATTCATTCATCCCTGGCTCATCTACTACTGTTAAGCTTTGCGATTTCCAATTCATAGAGCACTTTTCCTTCACAGCTTCAGTTTCTCTTGTTCTTTAAACAATCTTTGAATATTTGGGAGTAAATTGTCAGAGTGCTACGAAAGGAAGTCCAAAATATGTACTGAAAAAACGAAGTCAGACCCATGTAGATTTTCCATCTGAGAACAGTAATTGGTACTGAAGAATGAACATCTATCTCTGAAAGGGTGGATTGTAAGCAGGTCTTCTCCCTCAGTAATGGTCCCTGGTACTTATATCATCAGGGTCTGCAGGGAGAGAGTGCCCCTTATTATTGAGCTGTGCTTTATTCAGAGTGTGTAAATGAAGTGAGGCATGAATATAGTGATGAAGGACCCAAAATTTTTTGTGTGTGCTATCTTAAATTCATGGTTGGTGCAACCAAGGTTGGTGACTAAAAAAATAATCATCTTTTTGTATATTCATTATATTGCTTTATAAACTATTTGCCTCTGATTAATAATATATTAGCAATATTTCATCATGGCAATTATACTTCTGTATACAATCTTAGTGGCTGAATTCCCTTTCATTAAATGAATACACCATAATTTATTTAAATGATTGTTGTACAATTCCACTGTTACGTATTTTTTCAGTATTTTAATCAGTACTTCACTACACAGCTGGCTACTCTTATTCAGTTTGTTTCTTAGGAAAAAGTGTCCTGAAGTACAGTGGATCAGTTAAACAGGCAAAAACAAAAACAAAAAGAACCCATCACTTTCTAATTTTCCCTTTTTTCCCCCCTTATTCCTTCTTATTGGTGAGGTTGAATATATTTTTTTATTGGCCATATAGTTATTCTTTTGAATTTTCTGTGGTGGTCCTCTGCCCATTTTCTGTTAGATTATTTTTAATTCATTTTATGGGGACTCTTTGCATGTTAAGAATATTAACCCCCAGGCCACCTGGGTGGCTCATATTGTTAAGCATCTAACTTTGGCTCAGGTCATGATCTAAGTCCTGGGATGGAGCCCACATCTGGCTCCCCGCTCCTCAGGGAGTGCTTGTCCCTCTCCCTCTGCCCTTCCCCCCAACTTGTGCACACGCGTGCGCGCTCTCTCTTTCAAATAAATAAAATCTTTAAAAAAAAATTAAACCCTTTTATCACTAGCTTGTTTGCTTTTTTTAGTGTGAGCAGCTTTATTGAAGTATAATTGACATGCAATATATTTAAAATGTACATTTTGATAAGTGTAGACATATTTAAACACTTGTGAAACCATCATCTCAATGAAGATAATGAACATATCCATCATCTCTAAGTTCCTTTGTGCTCCTTTGAAATCTCTCCCTACCTCCTCTATCCCCCAGGCAATCCCTATGAATTAATTTCCATTTTCTAGAATTGTATATAAGTGAGACCATTTATACCATGTACTCTTTTTTTGTCTGGCTTCTGTCACTCATAATTACTTCGAGACCTATCTATATTTTAGATTTTATCAATAGTTCATCCTTTTTATTTCTGAGTATTGTTTCATTTTATGATAGATCACAGTTTGTTTTTCTCTGTCCACCTGTTGATGGATGTTGGGGTTGTACCTAGCTTTTAGCTATTAGAAATAAGCTGCTAAGAATGTGCATCACAAGTCTTTGTATAAACACGTGCTTTCATTTCTTCTGAAGAAATTCCTAAGAGTAGAAGGGCTGTATCCAATTGCAGATGTCCATTTAACTTCTTAAGAAGCTGCCCAACTGTTTTTAAAAGTGGTCAGGCCATTTAACCTTCCTACCAGCAGTGTGTGAAGGTTTCAGTATCTCCATAGCCTTGCTAAAGGGTGTCCAGTGCTATTTCACAGTGCTTTGAATTTGTTTATCTTTAGTTACTAATGATGTTGAGCCATCTTTTCGTGTACATATTTGCCATCCATTTATCTTCTTCAGTGAAGTGTTCGAATTTTTTGGCCATTTTTTAATTGGCTTGTTTGTTTCTGACTATTGACTTTTAATTAAGAGTTAGGTTTTCTCTATACAAGCGGTGCTCAATTAGATACATGATTTGCAAACATTTCCTCCAGTCTTTGTCTAGTCTTCTAATTGCTTTCTTAACAGTTTTCAAGAACAAATGTTTGAAATTTTGATGAAGTCCAAAATTACCAATTTTTTTTTAATATGGATTTTTGGTTTTGTATCTACAAATCTTTGCCTAATCCAAGCTCACAAAAATAGTCTCCTCTGTGTTCTATGAAAGTCTCTTATGGGGACACCTGGGTGGCTCAGACAGTTAAGCGGCTGCCTTCAGCTCAGGTCATGATTCCAGGGTCCTGGGATCGAGTCCCGCATCGGGTTCCCTGCTCAGCTGGGAGACTGCTTCTCCCTCTCTCTCTGCTGCTGCCTCTGCTTGTGCTCGCTCTCTGTCAAATAAATAAAATCTTAAAAAAAAAAAAAAAGATTTAAAAGGAATTCTCTTATGGTTTTACATTTAGATTCATTTTGAGTTATTTTTTGTACCTGGTATAGCATTTAGATTCTTTTTTGAGTTATTCAGATTCATTTTAAGTTATTTTACATTTAGATTCATTTTGAGTTATTTTTTATACATGGTATAAAGTATGTATCAAAGTTTGTTTACTCACATATGAATATCCAATTGTTCTAGCACTATTTGTTGAAAAGACTGTCTTTTTTACATGGAATTCCTTTTACACCTTGTGCATACATGCTTAGACTCTTTTAATCTGTTTATCTTTATGCCAATAATGAAGTGTCTTGATTACTGTACCTTTATAGTTAGACTTGAAGTCAAGTTGTTTAAGTCCCCTTTGTTCTTTTTCAACGTTGTTTTAACTCTTCTAAGTTCTTTGCATTTCCATGTGGATTTTAGAATTTGACAATTTCTCCAAAAGTGACCTACTGGAATTTTGAGTGGGATTACACTGAATGTACAGGTCATTTGAAGAGACTTGATGTTTTAACAATATTGATTATTCCAACCATGAACATAATGTATCTATTTTAGGTTCTTCTTCAGTTTCTCTCAGCAGTTTTGTAGTTTTCAATATGCATGTCTTTCACATCTTTTAAGTGTTTTTATTTATTTTGGGGGGGAGAGGGGGAAAAAACAAGGTGGGGGGGAGGGGCAGAGAGAGAAGCTGACTTCCTGATGAGCAGGGAGCCCAATTCAGGACTCTATCCCAGGACCCTGGGATCATGACCTGAGCCGAAAGCAGACACTTAACCGTCTTGAGTCACCCAGGCGCCCTCACATCTTTCATCACTTTTTCCCAAAGTATGAAATATTTTTATAGCATTGTAAATGACATTTTAAAAAAATTTCAGTTTCTGACTATTTGTTACTTGAATATAGAAATACAGTTATTTCTATATGCTGATCTTGTATCCTGGAACCTTGCCTAATGTTGATTATTAGTTCTAATGGCTTATTGTTTAGATTCCATTCAGATTTTTTACACAAAGTAGGGCCAGGACCTGAGATGGAGCGAGTCTCTCCTTAAATTTTCTTCCTCATGTACTTCATTTGCCTCACTGTCATCTTAGCTCTGCATAGACGATTCTATCTGTAAAGAAAGACAGTTTTATTTCTTCCTTTTATACATTCTGTCTGCTTTTTGGTAGTTTCAAGCAGGAGGGCAAATCTGGTCCTTTTTACTCTTAGTTTGGCCAGAGATAGAAGAGCTGTATTACTTGTCATTTGCTTTTTAATTTTGATTATGATAGTTTTTTATTTTAATGAAGACTCTATAAATGTTTATGTAGCAAAATCTGTCCATCTTTTATGTTGACAATTCTTAACATTTTCTGACTCATGCAGTCCTTTGACAAATAATCTGATAAAAGTTATGGATCTGATTTCCAGAAACATTTATACACATTCATATTTCTGTATGTAACTTCAGTAGTACACAGAATCCCTGAAGGCTGGTCTATTGAGTCCTTGTTACAAATCTTGATTATATCAGTTACTTTGCATCTTATATTTAGAAAGGCCTTCTATTTAAAAGTATATAATTAAGGAAATACTTTTTAAATGATCTCGGTATGTTTTTTCTCCTTTGTATATTCGAACAGCTGCTTACAGATTTTCAAATTCCTTAATTTTAAATGATCAAATGAGATAACATATGTGAAAGCCTTCTAAAAACCATAAAGTGCAGTATATATGCTGTTGTCCTTGTCATCATCATCATCATCAAAAACATTCACCCTTTTGACCATCTATTCCAGCCTGAGAGTTAAATCCAAAGAAAGAATTATTTTAAGAAATAATTTGAACTATGAAAGTACTCCTACACACATGGTCTGTAATGAGGGAAAACAGAAAACATTGTAAATATTCAGTAATAGGAGAATGCATGAATAAATAATAGTGCTTCATTAGATGAGATGTAAAGGATTTAAAAATGGTAATTACATAGTAATAAAGATATGAAAGTTGTCTGTATTTAAATTGAAAAACTTTACATTTTATTCCTATTATGGTATCTTGCATAAAATGTACATATGCATAAAAATTAAGAGGGATATCGAAATACGAAAACAGTTGTTTTAGGGAGATGGGTTTGTAAATAATTATTTTTATTATTCCTGCCTTTCCTTTAATTCTACTCTGTATGCCTTTGAGTTTTTATATTAAATGTTTTCTGTATACATATATTTAAAGTTAGGCTCCCATCCCAGTTTGTTGTTTACCAGACTGAGAGACTGCCATGGCCTTCAAGGCTCATTTATAATACTGCCTGACATAAATTATCCGTGAAATTATTTTTTTCCTTTTTTATGCTTTTATAGTATTTAAAAACTTCACATTTTGTCAGTCATGTTGTCTTATTATTACCCAGTTTTTAAAATGTATTATGTAGTTCCTGATCATTTATTTAATGCTACAATTTCATGACTTAATTATTTCATTGTGCCTTTGTTGTGTTGACTTGAACTTATTATAGATTTATTTTTCCAGTTGCCCAGCAAGAGGCTGAAATGTTCAAACGCTACAATGGAACATTTCCATTACCTGGAATACACCAAAGTCAAGACGCTTTATGCACCTGTCCTAAACTGCCTCACCAAGGCTCTTTTCAGATTGATGACTATGTCCACACTGAACATTCTTCAATGAAGATGCAGCAAGTGAAACAGAGACTCGATTCTGTCACAGTATGTTTAATGATTTTATGCAGTTGAGAAGTTGGAAATTTTAAAACCATTTTGATTCTGTTTTACATTGCCATGCCAATAAATATTAATTCAACAAAGTAAGTTAGTTACTTAAAAATAGACTTTCTTGTGCTTTTATAGTTCCTTTGCGGTGTTTATTCTAACATCACTCACTGCAGTAAATAGACCAATTTAGGATAATCTACAGGCTTTCCTGACCTGATATTTCTGTAAAAACGAACCCAAGACCTGTTTTGCTGTTTAAAAATGGAAGTGTGTGTATGTGTGCATATGTGTAACACACACAAACACAACAAACACCAACCTGGGAAAATATTTACATAAAATATATTAGGATCAGCCTCCTTAATGTGCAAAACTAAACAGTAAAGAAAAATAGACCTCCACAAAAAAATGGATAAAATTAATAAGCATGTACTTCCAAAAAGAGTAGACACAAATGTTCCTTAAGCATATTTAAAAGGTCTGTTATCTCACTACAAAAAAAAAAGTGCCGTAAAAACCAGGTATTGCCCATAAAACTGGAAAATAGATTATGAAAGTGAGGAGGATGCTTAGTTAAAAATATTGTGCTATTTATTCTGTTAGCTATAAACTTCTACACAGTCTTTCTCAAGGATAAGAAGTATTGAGAAGCTTAAATATCCTTAAAAATATTTATGCTCTTTGACCATAATAGTTCTTTTAGTTAGAGTTAGCCTTGAGCTCCTTGAAGACAGGGACTGTGCAGACTTGTTCCATGTCGTGTTCTCACCTTTTGGCACAGAGCCTGGCACTTAATAAATATTATCCCTTTCTCTCCTCCTTTGATAGGAATCTTGACCAGTTTTAAACCAAACATATCAGGAGCTACACTGAAGCACCTTTAGTTATGACTGTACTCACTTTCTCTCCTTTTCTTTCTTGAGAAAATTAGAATTTCAGGTATATCAGACTGCAGGTTTCGTTGGAATATAGGAGAAATATTTTATTCTTCTCAGTATAAATTTTAGAATATATATTATAAATTAATATGCTTATTTCAGTGTTATAAGTCTGTGTATTTTAACATTTTATTTTTTAATTGAATTATGTGTGGTGTTCCAGATTTTAAAAGGAATAGATAAATTGAGTTTTGAAAATTAGAGAAAAATGTTTCTTCACTAGGAAAAAAAAAGAAGTGTCCCTTGTCTAAAATTTTACATGACAAAATGACTTTGCAGATTTAAGAGAAACTGACTCATAGATAAATAAAAGAACAGGTTTCCTACAATCTGTTGGTCTTCACACTGTAAAACTTAACATCCTGGAATCAACTCAGTCTTGTAGCTTTTCTTTTCCATCATCTTACATAGCTGTCATCTTCAGATAAATGGAAGGATATATGAACAAAAGAAACCGGATGTAAAGGAAAAATCAGAAAGATATTTTTTAAGATATGAAATCAAAGGCGTGGGGAAGCACATTGGTAATTTATTATAAGAGAAAAATTTATTTCTCTTAGAATCATTAATTTATTTAGCTTTTACCACGTCTTTTTAAAAATTATTTGGAGTTTCTGTTTGCATTGGGATTGAGGTAGATCAAGGCTGCCTTTGGAAATGAAAGCTTTGCTGTGTTTTTGAAAAACCGTATTTTTCCCATGTTGAGACAATTCACTGAACTTTTTTTCAAATGTTATCTGCAGTGTTTTTTTTTCATAATGTATATAGTATGTATGGAAATAAAAAACAAAAAGTCATCTTTATTCCCATGGCAGCTCTATTCTTTTTATATTTTACAAACATTCAGTTTGACTGGATTTTTACCTTTTGTCACAATGCCTTTTTCTTGTTTCCTATAATTTATTTTGGTAGATCCCCAATTTTTTTTTGTCAGGTTATTACTTAATCCATTAAAGACTATCACAGTGGTATTCTACAGAGAAGTGTAATAGAGAAGACTTGATTACTTCTATATTATAGAAGACTGTATTACTGGAGATACTTCTTTCTTTGTAACCACAATAGGAATTTTTTAAATAAAATATAGTGCAAGCTTAGGGGGTGTGTGTGTGGGGGTGGGTGGGTGGGTGGGTGTGTGAATTACATAACCAATTTAGTTCAACAGGCGTTTAATAGGCGTTTACTCATTAATGAGTAAAGGATACAAAAATAGAGGATTCTGTGTTCTCTGTAGCGTTACTGTGTAGTCCTTTTGCTGTTTCCCACATAACAGGTTTGACTGTATATTGCTGCTACAGCAGGTCCCTGGAAGGCATACTGCAGCCCAGATAGGTTCTCCTAGCCAGACAGTATCTGGAGAGTATTGACAAAATTCATTCTAAGGTTTTAAAATTTGATCCTCTCAGTGCATCCAGACTTGCTCAGAATCTGGGGTACCTACTAGTAGTAATCAGTCTTACAAAAAGTTGATTTATAAACCTAAAAAACCTCTTATAGTGAAAGGTATACCTTTCCAGCTGCCTGCCCACTCAAGACCACTCTCGCTTTTAAAAATTAATCTGAAACCCAGGTTAGTGATTACCGAATTGATTATTAAGCAGAGTCACAGGAATAGGGATTAGATGGGTTTAAGGACATTTTATGCCAGCTTTGAAAAAAAGGTTAATTTTCTCTGCCCTATAGGAGATTTCACCTAATAATGTTTGTTTGGTGGTAACTAACATCTATATAATTATGAGTAATAACTGATGTAATGAATTATGGGTAATAACTGACATAATGTGCTAAATGCTTTACATGTTCATCGTATTTAATCCTCAAAACCATGGAATAGTGTGGGTGCTAGTATCACCCCCATTTTACAGAAGGTGAAGCCAAGGTTTCCAGATCCCACGCAGTATCACCCATGTCACACGGACAGCTGGCACTGGAGCTGAGATTCAGTCCAGGCAGTCAGACTCTCATGCCCAGGCAGTTTCACTTTCTCCTTTTAGGAATCGAATTACTATACTAATATCCTTTATGACACAGTGTCTTTCCCTTAGAAATGTCTGGATAAAAAATTGATGTTCCTCTTTCAGTTCTCTTTTTTCCTAAATTCCACATTCATCATTACCGTTTTTCTTTTCTCTAGTTCTGCTGTAGGCTGAGGATACATGCTAGCTAACCCTTCTTGGACTTGAGTATGTTTTGTGTCTCCTTAGCAAATTTTCAAATCATTCCTTATGTGTTGACTTGTACTAGTTTCTTTTTCAGAAGTGATCCTCTCTTGGCCTTGTCCCATGAATTTTATAGGCATTTCCTTTCTGTAGCTCTTTCAATACTGATCATATGCTTTGCCATTCAGTAGGGTTTATTCTTAGATTTCCTCTGAAATAAATTATTAATGTGGGAATTATATTTGTGGGCATTGTTATTTATGGAGATAATTATATATGGCAATTAATTCTGGGTGTGTCTTTGAGACATGTTAGTGCTCTGGTAGAATTTTAGCATTTTACCAGTTTATTAAGTTTGTTATTAAGTTTATTGAGGCCACATGTTTTTCTTGAGACAGATACATGTGGGCCCTCCAGAGTCTTGTTCTCAGTGCCTTTTGTTGCGGCAGGTTAGATTTACTAAGAACACATTGAGTCTCTTTAATTCACAATGCAGAGTGACAGGTACAGGGTGAAGGTGATAGACAAAGAAGCTCTCCCAAATGTTGATTTTGGTTATTAAAAGATTAATATCAGGATATGTTGAGAAGAGTTGATAATTTTATTAAAATGAAATTATGAATATTTCCTTACTTACTGTATTGTATTTCTTTTAGGAGGTGATACGAGCCTGTGCTGCAAAGGTAAGTAATTTTTATTGGAAGGAAGATAACTTAAAAACTGTAGCTTTCACTCTGATGTACTAAAAAATTGAAATGTACCATTCATACTTTTTAATAGGACTTGTACAAAAGTTAATCAGATGTGTATTTTCCTTATCTGAGCTCGAATTTGTCAAGGAATTATATACAGGAATCTGAGATTTTAGCAAGTACCTTCATATTTTTGAAGATTTAAGAATATTAAGCAATAGGGATATATTTTCAGTAAAGGACCAGCACAGTCATTTGATCCTCTGAGAAAAATATATACGATACTTAATAGGTAAGAGACATCAGTACAGTTCCAGTGGATGTATGCTTAGTAAATTGTATAAGCCTTGAAATGCATGCAAGCTGCACAGGAAGAGCAATGATAAACTGTGCTGATAATGCTCTTGATCATTTATACCAATGTTACACACTTCTTTTTCCATTTAGCTATGTAGCAATCCTGAGACACAGATTAGATATTATTGTTATTCCAATTTTAGAAAGGAGGAAGCTGAGGCTAATTGAAGTTAAGTGATTTGCTCAAGACCCCAAAGCTAGTCTAAAAATAGTAGCATATAAAAAGGCTTTGATTATTAAACAGTTTCAACGAAATTGTATCCGAGATGCTTTCAACACAGCACCTTTCTTCCTTTTACAAGCAAGGTTATTTTATATCCAGCCTTTAACTCACTTGTCAAGAAAATAAATGTTAATTTAAAAGAGTTGGAATGGCACGCCATGTTTGTCCTTCCCTCTTCTGTCCGTTCCCAAAATTCAGTTGAATAATTAGACATTCATTCATTTATGAAATGTAATTATATCTGACACGAGGTGAAAGGGTGAGACCTTCAAAAGGGAATTAGAATGGTATTTGTATGTTCAAAGACTGCTTCATGTAATAGTGCAATGGAAGTATTTTTTTATTCACTAGACATCTACCATGAGGCACTTGGAATACAGAAGTAAGTAGTAGGCTATTGTTTCTTTTCACATGGGGCATCTTATGGAGGGAACATGTCAGAAAACACTGGGCTTACTGAGCTGTCCAGTATCAGTGAGGACCCATTACTTTTTTACATTTTATATAAATGGAATCAAATAATATGGGGTCATTTATAACTGGCTTCTTTCACTTAGGATAAGGTTTTCACAGTTCCTCCATTTGTCGCATGTTATAAATACTATTTTTTTTTCAAGATTTTATTCATTTATTTGACAGAGACACAGTGAGAGAGGGAACACAAGCAGGGGGAGTGGGGGAGGGAGAAGCAGGCTTCCCGCAGAGCAGGGAGCCCGATGCGGGGCTCGATCCCAGGACCCTGGGATCATGACCTGAGCCGAAGGCAGATGCTTAACTACTGAGCCACCCAGGCACCCCTATAAATACTGTTTTTTATTACCATAAAAGATTCCATTGTATAAATATATTACATTTTTTTTTACCCATTCATCAGTTTATAGACATTTGGGTTGTTTCCACTTTGGGGCTATTACAAATAATGCTACTATGATCGTGTATGTGCAAGTTTTTGTGTAAGCATATGTTTTCATTTCTCGGGAGATGTATCAAAGAGTAGAATTGCTGGGACATATGATAACTCTGCATTTAACGTTTTGCAAAACAACTAAACTTACCCAAAGTGGCTGCACCATTTTATATTCCTGCCAGGAATGTATAAGTGTTCCAGTTTCTCCTCATTCATGCCAACATGAATTTTTTCTCTTTTTTAGGAAATAGCTACCCTAGTGGGTAAGAAATGATACCTCATTGTGCTTTTTGATCCGTGTTTCCCTAATGACTAATGGCATTGAACATTTTTGACGTGCCACTTGTGTGTCTTATTCGGAGAAATATCTGTTCAAATTCTTTAAAAATTTTTTTTGTCTTTCTGGGGTGCCTGGGTGGCTCAGTCGTTAAGCATCTGCCTTTGGCTCGGGTCATGATCCCGGAGTTCGGGGATCAAGGCCCACATCTGGCTCCCCGCTCAGCGGGGAGTCTTCTTCTTCCTCTGCCCCTCACCCTGCTCATGCTCTCTCTCTCTCACTCTCTCTATCTCTCTCTCAAATAAATAAATAAAATTATTTAAAAAAACAGTTTAAAATTTTTTTTTGTCTTTTTAATGTTCACTTTTAAGAGTTCTTCATATGTTCCGGATAGAAGTCTTTTACCAGATGATTTGCACATGTTTTATTCCACTTTGTGAGTTGTCTTTCCACTTTCTAGATGGTGACCTATAAAACAAAAAGGTTTTAATTTTTATGAAATTCAGTTTATCTGTTTTTTTCTTTTGTCATTTTGCTTGGGATGTCATATCTAAGAAACCATTGCCTAACCCTGCATTCCAAAGATTTACTTCCTTTTTTAAAAATTTTAATATGTTTAACATTTAGGTCTGTGATTATTTTGAGTTCATGTTTTTATATGTATAATGCGATGTAGAGGTCTGATTTTATCCCATTCCACGTGGCTGTCTAGTTGTCTCAGCACCATTTGTTGAAAAGGCTATTCTTACCCCATTGAATGGTCTGAGCACCATTGTCAAAAGTCTTTAATCTTGAAAGCAGAATATATTTCTGCAGTTTCTCATCTATTACAACCAGGATAATAAATTTTTACCAGGTATCTAAGTTTCTTCTTCTCTGAATCCCAGCCAAAGTTTTATGTTTTTGAAAATTCACTCCTTTTTTTCTATTAACATTATTTAATCCTTGCCTACTAAGGAGTGTGTGTGTGTGTGTGTGTGCTTGGGCTGCCCTCAAGTATGCTCCTAAAAGGCCTCTCTGAGAGAAACACTTGGCAAGGAGTAGCTCCTGTCCTGTAGAAGTCCTCATCTAGAAAGATAAGGGGCATGCTCGAGAGCAGGAAGAAGAGCACTGTGCATAAGTAGTAACAGTGAGCAAGCAAGGGGAAACAGTGTTTGATGGCTGGGTTGGAGAGGTGATCAGGAGATCATGCATGCCTGTTAGCATGGAAATGTAGGGGAGGCATAATTTCCCTTCTGTCCTAGGTTCTGTGGCTGGTCTAACAGTTAAATTGACTTAAGAAAAATTAATAAAAGAAAAATAATTATGTACATATGGGAGCCCAACAAAGAAGGAGACTACAAAGCTGCCAGGCAGTTGAGGCTTTTCTACCATCTTTACTGGAGGAAAGGGATAGGGGTCTAGGGCTTCAAAGTGGGACGGCAGTTCAGGGGAAGGTGAGAGGAGTAGCTGTTTGGTAAACAAAGGCTTCCCCTCCGCGGAGGTGAAGAGTTCTCTCTGGGCACAGCTCTCTTCCTAGTAGAGGCCCCTTTTCTAATGTAAATTTCCCTTATTAAAGAGCGGCTTCTATACCTGTTTGCAGAGCTTCTCCAGTATCTGCAGTTTCTCAAAATAATCCTTATACCAAAGAGGCATATTTGAGGGTGACATGTTCTGCTAAACCTTCCGTAAAGATTTAGGTATTGTTTTAATCAGAGAAGCAGTGATGGAGGTATTAAGCTGGGGAGAATGTGAGAATACATTTTAAAAGGGGAGTAATCCAAGAGGAGATGGTAGCCTAGACTAAGGATGGTGTAAAAGATAAATGGATACCTATTAAAAATTTTAATAAATAAGTTTATTTGAGCAAAAATTGATTTGAATGGCATAGTCCCAAACTGGAAGTGGTTAGAAGTGCTCCAGTGGCAGGAACTGAGGAAAGACTTTTATAGAGAAAAGGCTGAAGCAAAGTAAGGACATTATAAATTGACTATAGTCTAAAGCCTAATTGGCTGTTGGTGATTGGTTGTCCTTAGGTTTCGATTTTGTAACCTTGGGGTATCTGCAGTCTTCGATTTGGGCTTGCTTCTGTAGGCTGTAAGCCCAGCTGCCATGGCATTAGAACTGCCTCAGACTCATGGCCTCCTGTTTAATTTAACAGTGGCAATAATGAAGATGCAAGCAATGGACACATTTGCGATATATTTTGGAAGTAGATGTCACACAGCTCGGTGATGGATTGCATGTGGTGTAAGTGAAGGAATGAAAAGTTGGTGTCACTTCCAGCAATTGTACAGATGCTAGTGGTGGCATGAGGCTGTAATGAGATGAGGAATGCTGGAGTGGAGGGAGCAATTTTTAGGAGTGGAGTTTTGGATAGGGCTGTAGTTGTATAGTAGGCAATTGGATTTCTGAGTCTTGAGTGCAGGGAGTAAGTCAGGGCTAGTGTTCTATATTTTTAATCTGTGAGATTGAGTAAGATCACCTGGGGAGAGAGAGCTAAATACCTGAGGCACTCAGCCAGGAGAAGGGGATGTCAGGGAAGCCTGGGGGAGAGTATTTCAAGCAAGAGGAGTGGTAAACTGTCACATGCCACTGAGAGAATGAGTAAAAGAGGATAGAAAACTGAGGATTGTGTTTAGCTAGATGGTGTCCTTTGGTTACCTTGATGAAAACCATTTAGGTGGCAGACACAAAAGCACAATTGAAGTGGGTTGAGGACGGAATGGAAGCCCATCAGTTTTGACCGGGGAGCAGAGAAACAGGACCTGAAGAGGAATCTCAGATGGACAGTTTTAAAGCGTACTTATTTGCTGATTGGAATAATCCAGTGGTGATGGAAAAGTGGGGGATGTACCACGGAGGTGGTAATTGCTGGACTCAAGTCCTTGAAAAAGTGAAAGAAGATGTTGTCCTGAATACTAATGGAGACACTGGCCTTAAGAGGGGATTTTTCATCCCTTCTGATAGGCATATAGGTAGAAACTGGGTAGATGCTTAGATACAGATTTGATGATGGGAAGCTGAGAGTTGTCATCTGATTGCTCCAAGATAGTAATTGGTATTAGAAGTCTTGCATTGCTCCGAATTGTTATAGCCCTAAAATATCTTCATATGAATTTATAATTTACAAATTTCCTTGCTCTTTCCTTTGCTTGGGGTTGGATTGAAGCATATCAGAAATGGTATTACCTGGAGTCTATTTCCATTAAGCTTTGTATTCCTCACAAATGGAATTAATTTGTTTT